GGAGAATAATTAAGAATTGAGTCTCCAAATTAGCTACAAACAGTACGTTGTTTACTCTGTTCATTGTTTTAGACAATTATAAATTTACTTTAGAAGGAAACTAAGACTTTCTGGTAGATGTGACAAAAGCCAGTGTGTAGCTAGTAGTTATCTCTTTGTTACTTGAAAAATTTTTTTTTCTTCCTTGGGGTTTCATCTTTTAGTAACAGTATGAAACTGACAGCAATCCATGTGAAAACTAGCGAGCACCTGTAGTAGCAGTCACACTAGGAAGACTTGCTTGCCAATCTATACTTAGTAGTGTGTGCCATTCTGTGGGCTAATCATTAAGAATCGGTCAGTAGTTGGAAAGAATAATTTTTTGTGAGTGTGACAGCCATTCTAAATATATTGTTGAAGAATAAGGCCAGTTATGAACATAAAATTATAATTATTCATATTTGCCTTATAGCTAATAGATTAAATTTTTTCACATACATTTTACTATTTTACACTACATCCCTTTAGGAAGCCTTTATTATCCTTGTTTAATGGTTAAAAAACATGATTTTCAAGGAGATAGTAACTTGGCCTAAAAACACATGGCTAGCTAGTATACAATGCCATGAACTTTGAGGTGAAGTTTTAAAAATTATATTGAGATTTCCCCCCGAAACTGAATGGAAAGCAAGCAGAATTTGTGGTTTTCACTTCAGCTATTTCCCCAAAATATATAGGTCTTCAAATTCCATCTCCCAAACCGTTGGGGTTAGATATGTTCCAGAATTGAATTTTTAGATTTAGAAAATAATATTGTCCATATAATGTATACTATGTAATATCACATAAAATGTTATTCACCTTCCTGTCAAAATACTTACAAGTTTACTGCATTTAAAACAAGTATTTTTCCTCATTTCCAAATATCTAAGCTAAGGCTTCCACCTATGATCTTTTTCCTGTATTTTCAACTTCTTCATTAATGGTTCAGTCTTAATAATAACATGCTCACATCTCCCTCATCTTCAAACCAGTCTCTCTTCCCTCTCCACTTTCCCATGCAGTTAGCTCCATCTTCTCACCTCTCCTTCACAATGATTTCTACTGTGGCAGACAGATAGTTGTCTCTACATAGTCTTTCTTCTTGTCTTCTGTAATGTTAGGTTTGGGCCATTAAAAACGAGACACATTCTTTTCCAATGGGCATAACAGAAATGTGTTTAATTATTGTGTATATAAAAATGTGTATAATTATTTGATAATATGTTTTAATTGAAGAGACCACCTTTTGTTCTCTGGTATCTCCCTCCTACTTGCTGGATGGAATGCAGACAAAATAATCATAGTTCCCGCATTTATCTTTTACTGTAATATGACTTCGGCAATAGAAGCAATAGATGGTGGAACAATGAGATAGATTACATTTTCAATACCTTGGGGTCCCTAATATATTTAAATACACTGTATTCAAATCCTTACCTCACATTGTTCCTCAAGCTACTCAAATTTGACTTGTACACATAACACTTAATCGATACTACTTTCACCATGGTCCATCAATGACATAACACTATACTCAAAAACACTCTTTGGCGTTATTAATCATTGCTTCTTATATCTCAGTCCAATACTTTCCAACATTTTTTTCACATCATAGAATACAAAAGAAATGATATTTGCACTCACATTGGAGTAACAGACAAAATTGCTTATGGTTGGACGTAACCAGCCTGAGGAATGCCTCTAACCACCCCAGGCCCCACATGGCTTTCTGAAAGTATAAAGGATGAGTGTCATGATAAAACATGTAATAAATTGATAGCATACTAATGTAATATGGCACATTTTTGGGCAATTCTGTTATAGACATTTTAGTCTCTTGTGTTTAAAAACATATTTCTTCCCTTAACGTTTCTGAAATGTGTTTTCCAAAATTCTCTTATAGCCCTTTATGAGAGGTTATTTCATCTACTCTTATGATTTTAATTAAAATCCAAATGCCCTTAAAGCGTATAGGGTCTCAAGTCTACACAACATCTCAATTCTTTTTCTTGAGCACCAGATAGCAGAAATTCAGCTTCTTTCACAGTATCACTTACTGGAAGTCTTTTAGGCACTGAGTTAAATTTATTATTTTTACCCCAACATACTTGTCTTCTTTTTCTAAGCTTAGTGAATGTCACCACCATATACTTAATATTCAAATAAGAGCTCTCACAAGTCATCTTTTGACTCTTCCATTTCCCTCTCCTTTATGTCTCATATCCAACAGGTTAAAAGTAATCTATTCATTCTTTTAGAGCAAGCCAGATCTAACTCAGAAAAAAGCAAATTATAACTTGTGGTTAAATTAATCATCATGCATTTTTTAAAGTATGTAAAAATGTTTTTCAACTATAAATCACCATAAAATATTGACAATATGTACAAAGAACAAGTGGTATAGTGGAAACATAAATAGACATAGAGTCAGAAGTCTTAAAGTACTGACTTGAGTGTCTAGTAGTCTAGGAAATCACTTATATTTGAGACCCTGTTTTCTCACCTGTAAGCACTCCATTTGTTCACGCATTCAATGTGCAGTTACTGGGTTCCTATGTGTCAGGAAATGTGTAATATGTTGGGGATACAAAGATGAAAAGATGAGTAAGACATTCCCTTTCTCTCAAGGAAGGAAGGCAAACATGCAAAATAATAATTGGTTTAAAGCATACATCCTCAATGGAGGCAACATTGCCTCAGAGGGTGCAAAATTTGTTTTTGTTTTTGTCTTGTTTTGTTTTGTTTTTTGAGGTGGGAAAAGAAAACAACTTAACTCTTTTTATTTATAAATCACAGATATACATACAGTACTTAACTAGATAGATGGAAGATTTGTGGTGTTAACTGAATGCCAGTTCTGAGCTAAAGACATTATTCATTATCCCATTTGTCCCTCACAAGAAACTTATGAGACAGGTATTATTTTTTCCATTTCACAGTGATAAAAAAAAATGGCTTGGAGGGGTTAAATAATTTGATAAATCTACTGGCTAATACTAAAATATAAGTCCCATAAATGCAGAAGTCCTATCTGAATAGGTCATTATTCTATTCCCAGTGCAGCCCAATAGTATCTGTTGCATGGATGAATTATTGTGAGTTAAGAACACATGGAGAAGTCCAGTAAGTCCATGATGTGTTAAATCTCAAGTCCTATTTTCATAATCTTTATGTTATTAAAGGTGTCCAGTACATGGCTTTAGAACGTATTGATGGATCTATGGGTGGATAGATGGTTAAAATGGACAGAGAGAGAAAGAAAGAAAAAGGAAAAGAGAGCAAACAAAAATAAGGTGGACAATATCCATTCTTCCTTTCTGTAAGAATTAGTGTGAGAATTAAATTAACAAATTTATATAAAAAAAACACAACACAGAGAATAACTAAATGCAAGGTACCTGATAGAAGTTTCATTAGCAAAAACATAATATGTTCCCTGATGATTCTCCCATGCAGCCAGTTCATGCATTTTTGTGTCTCTTAGAGTCAAACTGTTATCTGCCACACTGCTTACAGGACCAGCCTTGGGTTATAATGTTCATGAAACACAGCTGGAACTTGGATGAACAATCATTTACTAGAACTTTCCAAAAAAAGAAAGAGTAGCTGAATAATAACTAACAAAAGTACACATAAATATAGGACTATAGTTCTATACGAAATACAATCATACTTAGTGTCATCAAATTAGCAAAGAGCTATTCATATAATTTTTAAAAAGATCAATTTTTCTTTTAATTTATTTCTTAATGTAAGACTTGCGTGATCATACTAAAATTATTGGTCATGGATGAGTCTGTACCACATTTTAGTAAGTAAAAAATAATTATTTCAATTACATGCGGAATCCTGACTCCATTACTTTTCAGCTGTATGTCCTTGAGCAAGGTCTTTAAGCTCTGAGCTTCAAATTCTTAGAGTAAAACGGGACACCTATCCAATTAGGGCTTTGAAGAGTAATGAAAAAATACACATAATGAACCTAGCACAGTTCCTGGCACAGAGTTGGTACTCAGTAAATATGTTTCCTTTTCTTGTTTAGAGAAACACAGGTTAACTTCTTTTAAACTCTATCTAATTCAATAATTAAAATTTCTCCCTATGTACATTGTTTCAAGTTGAGACTTTGAGGGCAAATACAGAGGGCATTCCATTTTATCCTTAACCTGAATAATACATTATCTTAGTTTCTGATTTACCCAAGATATACATATATATAACAAAACCACTTTATTTATCATTTTGGCTTTACTCTGAAGTGTGACTAAATTTTTTAATAAAATTCATAGAGTAGTAAACAATATATTTTTAAATGATCTTTGATGTATTTATTTCAGCTGTGCATTTTGGTCTATACCACAGTCACAGATCAACATAGGAACTTAATAATTACTGATACAAATCTACACTGTATGATATCAAATACTGTTTGAGTTTCAAATTAAAACTTTTGGAGAGTTTTGTTTCTGGACCACCAAAAACTAAACAAATTTTATAGAAACATTTCAGTTCACCTGTAGCTGGTACACTTAGTTACTTGCCCATGCCTCAAATTCATTTTATCCCAGATCCTAGAATAAGATGTGGTTTGTGTGTGTGCGCGCACATGCATGTGTAAGAGCATGAAGAACAGGTTATAAATCTCAGCCACACTATTAGCAAGCTAATTAAGCAAGTTATTGACTAAATTTTCTTATTTCTAAAATGGAAGGATTTTGGTGTAAAATAAAATTAAGATAAATCATGTAACAGGTTCAGCAGAGTGCCTAGAGAACTAAGCAAATACTTAACACTTTTTTTGCATTTACTGAATTTTATTTTCATTATAGTTTTCTATATTAGATATATGCCAGCAGCTCTTTTCAACTGGCCTCTGAAACAAAAGTGTGATTCTTAACTTACTAAATTTGAACCAACTATACAACGACCATGGCAAGAAATCACAAGTCCATATCACACAATACTTTTAAAGAGCATACCATATCCTGCTGTAGAAAGACCCAAGTGTTTCATTCTATTATTCACAAGTTCAGCAAGCTCTTGTCTTTCTGACCTCCTGTAGAGGTTCAGCCGCTGCTGGGTTATTTTCTCAGCTGTTTTACCAGAGTGTTTTGGACCTTTTCTGCTCAGTCTTCGGGCCCACTGCATGCTCTTTCTCCGTAGCAAGGGATGGTCTGACTGGTCACTGGATGTTGAGTTGCGGTGGTTGCTTCGGTGATGACCTTGTTCTTTGGAGTCTTTAGTGTCTTCCCACTCTTCTACACTAATCGATATTTGAGACTTTAAAAGAAATGGATATGTATAATTAGATATTTTAGGAATAATTATAATCTGGAGATATGCTAATATCTTTTGCTAACATCTTGGTATAATTATATATCTCAATGAGAGTTTCCCCAGAAAGAGCAAAATCATGATCATTGATTCCATTTTGTTATCACAAAAAATACTATTTGAAAATACTTATTTTGAACTTACATATGAACCAGATAAAATATCTTTGCATATGCAATATAACTCTACTAGCAGAGTTGTTTGGAGACACAAAGAAAGAAACGAAAAATATTTTAAAGCTTTATTCAAATAAAGTCAATGTGATGAACTTTTCTAAGCCTACTACAGGTATTTCATATGAAATTTAAATAAAATCAATGCAAGGTGTTTTTTTTTGGAATTCATAATATATTAAAAGGTTTTTAAATTATTGCTCTTTCTAAAAATGGCATTGGAATGAACTTTGTAAAGTGTGATTTTGTTTTGTTTTGTTTTTTAATGTTTTATTTATTTCTAAGAGAGAGAGAGAGAGACAGCGTGAGCAGGGGAGGGTCAGAGAGAGAGGGAGTCACAGACTGAAACAGGCTCCAGGCTCTGAGCCGGCAGTCAGCACAGAGCCCGACACGGGGCTCGAACCCACGAACCGCGAGATCATGACCCAAGCGAAAGTCGGACGCTTAACCGACTAAGCCACCCAGGCGCCCCAGTGTGATTTTGTTTTTAATTCACTCACATGACCCAGTAAAAGACAAAACCACTCTTTTAATTAGTTCATTCATTAATTATTGGCCACATAAACCTTTTTCTGATTAAAATTTTAAAACACATTTCAGGAACTGTTCTCAGTATTCTAAGCGTTGTAAATATTAATATTTCACAAATGTATTCCAGAATCACAAATAAAATTTAAATCAGGCTATTCTCCATTGGAAGGAAAAACAATAAACAAATTCAGAAAGTCTGTTTTGATTTACTTTTTTACTACTAATTCCTATTTTTAAAACAAGAGGCTTTCCTTTGATTGTAGGCCTTTAATAAATAAAAGCTTCCTGTTTCAAAACTTTGCTTTTCATACCAGGAATTTAAATGAAATCCAACATGGATCAATGCTGAAGGTCTTACCTTCTAAAAGGATGCACATGCAAATGAACAGTTCCCTAAATTGTTCTGTAAATAAGGGCAATACTCATGCATCTGCTAACTGTGTTTCCCTTCTATGGATGGAAGCTTGAACTTCAGCTCTATCATTCATGTTTTGCTGAATTTCAAAGTAATAGAGCTTAAATTACCAATTTAAGTAAAGGTCAAGAGGTAGATCCAATAAAATCCCTTAAAAATGAATGTAAACTACAAAGTCTCAGTCAATGCCTTCCATACAATTCCTAGTGGAAAGCTATGAAATTACTGCACACTTAAATTCAATGAAAAATTTAAATATTCATCCACATTTGTTTCAAAACAGTAAGCGATATTAAAAATAATGTGTTTTAACTTTCAAATCTCCACGATAAGAGAAAATTTTATTAAAATGTTTTTAGAAAACTTATTTGAGACACAGAATTTAAACTGGAAGTAATAAAATTTGAATGGCTGCATGGTTTCGCATTAATGGATACTTTTATGAGTCTTAACTTCCTCTAGTCTCACCTACTTGATAATATATTGTAAGCCCTCTTCTGAGGAAGTGAAATATATAAGCCATTAAGTAATATCTACCATCAGTAAATAATATCAATCTCTTTGTTCAGTAGATTGAGTTTATATGTACTTTGTAGCAAAATTGAAGACATACATATTTAGACATTTTGGCCTGCAGGGTTTTGTTAATCACAATCTTGAATTTATTTGAAGTGATCTTTCTAGTCATAAGTCCCTGTAATAGTTTGATTCCCTACAAATATGTGGAAATAGTAACCTTGCCAGTCCCATAATTCAAGTAGAGGATGAAACCCTATCTGTCTTGGTGAATGCTTTTTCTTAGTTATATATACCAGGGAATGTAACAAGCAAATATCTAAAACACGAACTAAGGGCTATGTATGTATTAGCTAAACATTACTGAATACCCTATTCATCACTGTTTTGAATTTCCTTAAGAAAAGAATAGCGTGATTTATACATAAAATCCATAGAGATCACAAGGCCTTTATGTCAATTATTCAATAAAATAAGTATCATTTCTTTGTATATTTCATATAAGTACAGAAAAAAGGAATTTGAAGGATTTGAAGATTGATTTTAAGAAATCTAAACTGACAACACACAGATTGTTCTTTGTGTGTTTGGAATTTGCAGGTGTTTCTCCCATCCTTCCAATATGACATAATGAAAAGTGTACTGAATTTTATGTATTAAGATCACAAATTTGATGACATTTTGGATATTTCATAGCTTTGTTCCTACAACACATCTGCTTTAACCACTATGTAAAATGAGAAGAATAATAACCATTTTCTATCTCATTGAAATGTTGTGCAAATACCTATAACACATTAATGTATACAGAAAATATGTACCAACTATAAATTTCTACATATAATAATAATAACACATCCTAGTCAGAATGATTATTGACAGTAACAATTATAGTAGAAATAAACATTAGTTATTCTATTCCTGCATAGCGAATATGTGTGTGTACACCTGTGTGTTTTTTAAAAAGGTTCATTTAGGGGCAGGTGGGTGGCTGAGTCAGTTACTTGTCCGACTTCGGCTCAGGTGATGATCTCGGGGTTCGTGGGTTTAGGCCTGCATTGAGCTCTGTGTTGACAGCTCAGAGCCTGGAACCTGTTTTGGATTCTGTATCTCCCTCTCTCTGCTCTTTCCCCACTCATGCTCTGTCTCTGTCTCTCAAAAATAAATAAATGTATAAAAAAAATTTAAGTCTATTTATAAATATACTTTCTTGCTGTCATCTCATCATTTGGATTAACTCTATTGTGTTTTGAACATGACACACCATAATCTACTGGAATAGTCTGGTGCTGGAAGACAAAGAAGTGCCTTGATCATAAGAACTTTTCCTGAACTTAGAGTCAGGGTGATAGAGTGCTTAAAAGCAAAAGTGCTGCCATAACATAGACCTGGGTATAAATGCATGTTTCACCATTTACCAGTTCTGCATTCCTGGTTATGTAATTTAAACTCTCTAAGACTACCCCCATTTCCCTATAGGAAAAGTGGTAATTATATTTTTACTTTGCTCACAGTGCTTTTCTGAGAACCAAGAGATAATATTTGAAAAGTACACAATATAGTGCCTGTCTCAGCAAATGCTCACTAAATATTAGTTAATGTTATGGTTCATGATCTAATATGAAAAGACAGTAAGTAAAAGGGAGACAAGAGGAAGAAATAATTAGGAAGGGTTATGTAAAAGTGAGAAATGGGTATGAAAAAGACAGGAATGACTCATATTTCTGATGTGGTTTTCTCTATCAGTGGCTGTATTTTACAGGAAATCAAGGTGCTACAAACAAATCCCTGTGCTCAAGAATCCTTAGTTAGAGTTTTGTGAATCTGAAGAAAAGAGTAAGTATTTAAGTGGAAGTGAAGATTTATTGCTCTGCCCTGCTTCTATAAATTATTCTTTACTATTTCTACTCATAATGGGAGGACCTGGTGTGACATTTTTTTACTTTTACTTATCAGAAGACTAACATAATTACAAACATGAAAAATCAATATTTTAACACTAATGTTTACGAGAATGAAAAAAGACATTTTCATATTGCTATTGCTATCTTCTGATCTGAATGTTGTATCCCCTCAAAGTTTGTTTGTTAAAATCTTAAGCCCCAAAAGTGATGGTCTTAGTAAGTGGGGTATTCAGAAGATGATTAGATTGTAAGTATGGAGCCCTCATGAATGGGATTAGTGCCTTTAGTAATAAGACCCCAGAGAGATCCCTAGCCCCTTCTGCCCGAGGATTATCCGATGAGATGTCTGTGATCAGAAGGAGGCCTTCACCTGACAATGTTACCACCCTTATCTCCCACTTCCAGCCTCCTGAGCTGTCAACAATCAATCAATTTCTGTTGTTTATAAGCTACCCAGCGCCTGTGGTAATTTGCAATAACAACTTGAATGGACTAACACATATTTTATATGAAATGTTTCTGGGAACATATTTATATTGTTCAATAAGGACATGAAAACTTCATAGGACTAATCAAGTTTTCATATAAATTTAAAACATCATTTTTAAAAATTATATTATTTTCTAAATATGGATCAAACTTAATATGGCTTTTTAAAAGGCTAAAAAATATTTTTCATAATAATGAGAATTGGCAGAAAATGTTTCTTATGCCTAAAATAGTTTAATTAGTTTCATTGTTTTCACAAAGGTAGAAAGTGTCAGAATCACAATATATATTAAACATTCTTCTCCACACTCAACACACACAAACATATGTACATGCATGGACACACACACACAAACACACACATATCCCCCACAATGACTCAATTCAACTTCCTCTCAATTTTTTACTGAAGTTATTCATAAGGTTATTGAGCAATCTGTGGAACAAAGTGGTATTTTAAAATAAATCAATTCACCCAATAGTTTGAAAGTGAGTCTTTGTAATCTAGATTCATGATTCCCTTAAGAACAGTTTTATAGGCTTTAAAATAGACTTAAACTGTGCCATGTGATTTACGATTGAAGACATCCTGAATTGTTGCTAAAGAAAACTGAGGAAAATGAAACCACTGAGGATATGTTAGTTTAACACTTTATAAAAGAATTCCTATCTAATGTTTTCCATTAAAGGAAGGTTAAATTATAAGAATACTTGAGACATCATCTAAATTTAATCCATATGCACTTTGGCCAGTAACTTTGGGTCTCATGAAAATTTCTTTGCATTAAAAAAAGTTCACAAAAAGATGTTTCCCCATTTTCTATTAAGGCTGAGATTAATAAATTCCTTTAGTCTATGATCTAAGAAGAGATAGAAAATAACTAGTGACATTGTATTTAGATGTATTTTCAACATATT